AGTATTTACTTTGATGCATGAAGAGGCCTTCAGAATTGCGCTGCACCTCCAAACCCAAAAAATAATGAAGAGGGCCCATATCCTTAACAGGAAATGCTTGGCTAAGTTTGTGAATGAAGTGTTGGCAGAGAATGGTATTTGGGCCGGTGACAAGAATGTCATCGACATAGACCAAAACAAGAACAGGAGCTGAAGCTTGAAGAACAAAGAGAGAAGCATCAGAGGAGGACTGCTTAAACCCAAGAGTGCACATGACTTGGAACAGTTTATCAAACCAAGCCCTGGGGGCTTGTTTTAAACCATACAAAGATTTCTTGAGGTGGCAGACATGAGTGGGAAGATTGGAATCAATGAAACCAGGTGGCTGAGTCATAAAAACAGCTTCCTTGAGATCTCCGTGTAAAAAGGCATTGCTAATGTCCAATTGATGGAGAAACCAGTCATGTTGAACAGCCAAGGTTAATAAAATACGAATGGTGACTGGCTTAGCTACTGGACTGAAAGTATCTTGATAGTCAACACCCTCCTTTTGATGAAATCCTTTGGCTACTAACCGAGCCTTATACCTGTCCACCGTACCATCAGGTTTCCTCTTAATCCGGAACACCCATTTACAGCCAACAATGTTCTGAGACGGAGAGTGGGGAGAGTGGGGTACCAAATGCCAAGTACCAGTGAGTTGAAGAGCATTAAACTCGTCCTGCATAGCTTGTCTCCAGTGGGCATACTTGGAGGCTTGTAAGTATGTGGAAGGAACAAAATCAACATCAACAGGTAAAGGATGTTTGGTGGCAGAATATGCTTTTGGTTTAAAAAATACCAGCCTTTGAACGAGTAAGCATAGGATGGGTATTAGGAGCTGTAGAATGGGATACAGGAGGATGAGTAGGAGGAGCTGCAGAAGGTGAGACAGAATTGGAGGATGATGGGGAAGAAGAAACATGCTCAGTGGAAGGGACAGTGGATTGAACTGGAGAAGGTCGCTGGGGAATAGAGAAGTGTAAATCAAAAGGGGAATGTGGAGAGGGAGATCCTGGAGAAACCACCACAGATGAAGAAGAAAGAAATGGAAACCTGTTTTCATTGAATTGAACATGGCGGGAGATATAGATTCTCTGAGTAGTAGGATCAAGACATCTATAGCCCTTGTGCTGCAAACTATAGCCCAAAAATACACATTCTGTACTCTTCCCATCTAACTTGGAGTGAACATATGGCTTTAACCAGGGATAACATGAGCAACCAAAAACCTTCAACTTGGAATAATCAGGGACAGAGTGAAATAAAAAGTTCCCATGGAGACTGATGCAAGCTGGAAATAGGCAGGCGATTGATCAGGTAGACTGCAGTAGAGAGGGATTCAACCCAATACAAATGAGGAACTTTCGAGGCAACTAATAGAGTCCGTGCTGTCTCAACTAAATGGCGGTGCTTCTGTTCGACACAGCCATTCTGTTCAGGTGTGTGAGGACAGCTGAGCTGATGAGATATACCATGATCTTGAAGAAAAGATTTAAACTTGTTACTAGTAAATTCACCCCCTGAATCGGACCTCAAACATTTGATTTTATTACCAACAGAATTCTCAACATAGGTCTTGAATACAACAAAAGTAGAATATACATCAGATTTGGCCTTTAAAGGAAAGAACCAAGAGTACTTGCTGTAATCATCCACTATTAAAAGATAGTATTGGTAACCACATGCAGAAATGACAGGAGCAGGACCCCAAACATCACAATGTAACAAACTTAAACTAGTAGTAGAAATAGAACTAGAGGGATGAAACGGGAGCTTGTGATTCTTAGCAACTGCACAGTCCGAGCAGAAGAAATCAACAGAGTGTTTTCCCTGCAGTGCAAGCTTATGTGCAGATAGAACGCGCCTGAAGATGGCAGAAGAAGGATGCCCCAAGCGACTGTGCCAAATATTCACAGGGGCTTTAGTACCGACTAAAGCATGAGGGGATGAACAAGATGAAGAGAAAGAAGCAGGGATACCTTGAAAAGTATAGAAACCATTGTTAACCGTGCCCTGCAAAAGCATCTTCCCCGTAGAACGATCCTTAACAACAGAAACCATTGGAATGCAAAGTCAAAGAGCAGGAATTATCCTTAAGAAATTGATATGCAGAGAGTAAATTGTGCTTCATTTGCGGAACATGTAACACATTGTGCAACTGAAAAGAGGCATGAACAGTATTTAACAATGTACTGCCAGTATGATGAATGGACAAACCTTTTCCATCGCCGATATACACCTTATCTTCACCAGTGTAGGGAGTAGGAGAAGAGATATTGGAGATGTCATGGGTGATATGAGATGTAGCACCAGAATCTAAAATCCATGAAAAAGACGGTTTGGAAGCATAATGAGTATACAGGGCAGCAAGTTTAGTAGGGGGTACTCGACCAAAGATGTCGGGATTCATTCTATCAAAGCAATCAATAGCTTCATGACTGGAGGATCCACAAATTTGACAATTGTTACGAACTCCAGGAGTACTAGAAGAACGAAAACCAGGATTGTTGGACCTTTGGAAACCAGAATTAGAGTGAGAGCCCCTATTATTGTTGCCCTGATAGTTTCGATTGCCTCTGTTGTTGGGAAAGCGATTATTGTTCCGTCCACGATTAGAGTTGTAGCGAGAAGAATTCTGCATAGGGTGATGTTGAGCGGCATAAGCTTGAGAAGAATGTGGTGTAGGAAGGAGAGGTGGTTGACTCTGAGCAGCATAAGCATGAACCGGTTCAGCCGCAACTATTTTCTTACGACGAGCCATTGACAATTCTTTAGTAAGAAGAAGACCATGCAGTTCATCCAAAGTAGTAGATGAGAGGCAAAGAGTAATAGAATCAACAAATGAGTCAAATTCCTCTGGTAAACCATGCAATGTAGCAGCAATCAAGTCACGATCGGACACAGAGGCACCAGCAGCTGTTAAAGAATCAGAAATTGCTTTAATTTGCTGGAGATACTCAGAGATCGATTGAGAGCCTTTCTGAAGAGATTGAAGACGAGAGCGAAGCTGATGAATATGAGCATCGGAGATGCCACCAAACCTCTGTTCCAATTTGAGCCATAAATCACGAGAAGAAGAAACTCCAACTGTGAAAGGAATAATCTCCCTCCGAGAGTGTAGAGTTCAACCAAATCAAGAGATTTTGATCTTTTTCGTACCACTGTTCAAACGCAGGATTGACAGAGCGATCAGACAAGAGAGGAGAGGGACAAGGTTCAGAACCATCAATAACACCGAGAATCTTGTAGCGACGAAGAATTGGAGCAAAGAGCGCTCGCCATGGAAGATAATTCGAACTCTTAAGCTTGATCGGAACCATACTGCCAATGTTCTGAATCGTGAGAGAGGTATAGCTTTGCACCAAATTAGGGTTTGGAGAAGAGGAATTTGGGAGAGAAGATGACGAATCAGACGCCATGGTGGAAGATACAGGCAAGATTCAACCAAATAACCACACTAATGACAGAAAAGAAGCACCAGAGATCAGATCGAACCAGAAACCGTAGCAGAGATGCCGTGAGATCAGAGATCGGAACGGACCAGAGATCGGAGCGGAGAAGCCATGAGATCAGATCTGAGCAGAAAATCCGTGAGACTGAGACTGTGAGATCAGATCGAACCAGAGATCAGATTGAAGATGCCGAGAGGATCGAAGAGTCACCAAGCAGGAAGACGATGACGAGAGGGATCGAAGATTCACCAAGGCCGTGAGGCGGTGGCGATTGATACCATATTGAGTCTTATCTTCCAGAGAGTACAGAGATAAAAATATCTTCTTCTTATTTCACTTTCTTACTCAACAAGACATTTACATCAGTATATATATAGATACAATTCTATTGACATAATTGACCTTAACATTCAGAAACTAATTACATATTCACCCTTGTCTAACTGACTCCAACTATACAATTACTACTAGAGTCTTTAGCTCATTAGTCATTGGTCTTATGATCAAATTTACAAAAAAAGTGTTTATCACATAGTATGAATCTTTCTCAGTAAATAGTAAGACCGTTTTTAAAGAATTTATAATGTCTTTCTTTTGGAGTGGTAGGGGGTTACTAATTTTTTTAATTTAATTTAATTTTTTTTGAAAATCAGCTTTTTAAAAAAGTCGGGGCCTTAATTGTGTTTGATAAATAAAAGAAAATGTTTTTTTTTAAATTTTTTTTTCTTTTTTCAAAATCATGGATCCAAAACAACAGAAAGCATAAGCCGTTCATGTTCTCTATCTGTGCTTGATTAGACAGTGATGGAGTTCACATCTCTCTCTTGAATAGCTCATAGCACTTCTCACAAAAATTGTTGGTCGTAAGTCACAATTTAATTTTAATTACTTTGCGAACAAAACTATCAAAAATCTATTTCGTGTCATCATAAGAAGAAGAAAATTATATGAATCATAGCACAGCTTCAGATTTTAGTTGTGGAAGCATGGATGATGGCTACTCTAGGAAGTGGCGTCGGCCGCCGTGGGAGGACAAACGGGAACACACGAAAGTTTTCATCCTTCAAATCATGCTTGGCCAAAACCGTTTCTGTACGAATGCTGCAAATGCAGCAGTTTAGTTGTAACACGGTACAAATGGCGAAGACCAAGTTCATCAAGCACAGGGGACAAGGGAACATTATATATCAAGCAAAAGTTTCCTTCCTCAATCTCTCCTCTCAACTCCCAAATATGAATGCGACTCCCATTGACCATATCTGTAAGGCACAAACAGCCTCGGCGGACAGTGGACACAAGCGTCTAGTGTAATACGATTCATCTGGATGCTAGTGAACAAGTTTAATGAAGCGACATTTATCGAAAACATCTGCATTACTGGTACTACGGGTAGTGTTTTTGTTACTGTCGTATGCTAACGGATCCAACTCCATAATCCTGGCTTTACCCGATCAATACAAGTTTCCATTGAAAGCAACCGTCAACTGGGCCAAATTCATGTAAGACTCGCGTGCTAAGATAAACACGTTTAATAACTTGAGCTATAAGCCTGTTGCATTAATTGAACTTTTTTACATCCTAGCTTTCGTCATTTAACAGCGATGAAAAGGCCTAACCACAAGAAGCAACTACAAGAAGGTGAATTCATGCGATGGAATTTGAACCAATTTTATTGAGACAAGGCCTACTGATACAATTGAAATCAACATCTTAGGAAGGAATCAACTAAAATACTATTGCCCCATTTATTCTCCATCAATTTCTTTCATTCTGTACTGATGATTGATTAAAGTGGATTTACCCGCTGCAGGAGAACCTGCTCACTGTTTGGTAAACAATCCTTGAGTTAACGATGAGAAATCAAAATCCCTTCCTGACTTAGTTGAAGAGATAGAAGATATTGGTGACGTTGATGAAAATTTGTTAGCTCTGATGTTTGTGACACCATTAACTGGAGTTACTGGCCTCGTCCTGTACATGCTGCAAGAGAAAAATTTCACAAAAAATTCACATGGTTAATCAATGTTCTTCACTTTTTATTAAAAAAAGTATCTGAGCATGAATCACATGGTTTCAGATACCGGTCTATATTATAGTACAGGGCGAATTGATCATGATCATGTCGAATTGATATGTAATGTGTACCTTGATGTTTGGAAAGGAACTGTATTCCCTACCGGGAGTGTATAATAGCTGTTTCCAATCTGGTGCAAGAAAAGCAAAGACAAGATAAGAGATGGAATATCAAATGGAAAATACTAGGTGTAAGCTTTGTCCTCCTAAGCACAACTTGAGTATAATGTTGTGGATGAACATGTACCAGGCTTCCAGGAACTTGGCGACCAATGTTTTGCCCATTTCGGGCGGGTAAGTGCTGAATAGAATGGGAGCCAGGTTGTGCGTTTGCAGGAATGGTATGGGATCCACTAGATTTTGCCGCAGAAGCCACGAGTAATGCCTGTTGTTGGGATGACATTGCAAGTTGCTGTTGATGCACAGAGAATGGAGAAAGCCATACTGGACTGCCCAAAATCCAATATTAAATTTGTTAGAGAAATGTAAACCTATATAGCATCAACAAACCAAATTCCACCACAACACGATATCAAAAGTTAGATATGGCATGCTAAACAACTTTGCAACGTATACCTTCTCGAAGAAGTTCATAATGTCATTCTGCACGTCATTCTGAGTTTTCATTGAAATGGGTTGAGTGATTGGGGTTGGGGTTGGATCTATAAAAAAATCTTCAAGATCATATTTTGGTTGAATCTTGCTTTCAGACGATTCTGGTCTATTACTTTTCTCTTCTATCAATTTTGTTTCAACTGCTGCATGTTAAGGAGGTACGAGGTTAGCGGTAATGCTAAAGCCATACTTGCAAGATGTAATTGATTTGGAAACTTTCATCCATGGAAAGCAAGATAATCAAGCAACAGTTTCTCTCATGATGACAAATAAAAGAAACATACCATGGTTACCAGCCAATTTATTCTTACTGGCAGATACCACCGAGTCATTTTCTATATCTTCGTCCATGGAGAGCAAATTGAACAGATAAGTAGCATAATCCACTTTAACTGGTATGGAAACTGGCCTAACACTACCCGCCTCACTTACCGGTTCAACTTTCAAGACTACTGGTTTTGGTTTCTGTGCTGGTTCTTGTGATTTAGGTTTCTGATCAAGTTCTTGCGGTTTTGGTTTCTGTTCAAGTTCTTGTGGTTTTGGTTTCTGTGCAAGTTCTTGTGGGCTTTGGATCACGACTGATCTGTCCATCAAGATCAACAGGCTTACTTTCATCAACAGAAAAAGGAACCAATACATAATACTAAAACAACAAGCAGCATGATATGTATCAGTTATCAACCGAGAGGGAAATAACCGAATAAAATTTACCTGCTGCGTAGTCCTGTTACGTGTACTGAGTGTACAAGCACCTTTCTGCTCCTCAGAAAACTGTTCCATCTTTTTCACATGGACATGCTGACTACTAGTCGCATTTCTCGCTCTATAAACGGAAGGCTTCTCCTTACTCACCCTCGGAGGTGATTTTACTTTCCCATCTCTAGGAACCCATTTTTTGTGTTCATACCTAATGGAGAACACAAGCACCCAAACAACTAAGCCCAAAATAAACCAATAATGAATAACAAGTACTACATCATACAATTCCTCGACAATCTAAACCAAGAAAAAAACGAAGTCATACTTTACTCGAATGAAATTCTCAATTCCAACTCTGTCATACTTAGGAGGCAACTCTGCTTCCCAATACCTATTCGCCTTATCATTTCCCATTGCTAGCAGCAAAATGAACCAAAATGAATTTCAGCACTTGTATCATATCATTTAAAACTCGATTCCCACCGGAATGAAAAGAAGCCGGTAAAACAGCAGTGGTACTTACATTGGATAAATGCAACCTGCTCCGGAAGCCATGTATCCAAATTGGCAGATCTCACCTACAAAAGCATCCAAATCATCAGAATAATGCAGGAGAAAATAGAACCGAAACTCAATAGCATAACGCAGGAATGAACTTGGAAGTTTTTGCATAACCGAAAATTATACCTTTGATATATGTACCCCAAGACTCCTGTGGATCCCTGAACATTGCATGCATGCATATGAAGATACCAAGGTTCACGCTAGCCCATCGCGGAGCTCTGCACCAAAAAAAGGCAGCACTACAAGAAGTTAACCATCCATATAAGATGTTAACAGCGGAATAATCCTCTACAAAAAATACAGTATCAAATCTAAATAGCTTGCATTAGTCAGTTTCTACCCCTTGATCTTTGCAACTCAACCTACCGTTTTGCTTACGCTTCAATGAAAAAAAAAATTACTGTCTCTATAGTTCGTTACAAGAAACGTACTTGGTTTTGCAGTCTGCGCATTCTCTGTTCTCTTGTAGTTTAAGAAGACCCTCCAATATCTACATACAAAATAAACCAGATGAGACCAAACCAATCTAATCATTAACTCCAAACAAGGCCTAA